AGCTTTATTTCACACAATTTTGAAATAACTGCAGAAATCCTTGTTAGTGCCAAGAATTCATTATAAGTGACTTATTTTTATTTCATGCTGTAGCTCAGTTAAAAAAATTATGGGAAATTCTGGTTTCACTGAAGTCAATGGAAAGTTTCTAAAAAGGATTTATTTTATTGTTAGTTCACACTATTCTTCTCCAATATCTTCTCCAATATCCAATTCTTCTCCAAATTGCTAACAGACTAAAGGAGTCATGAAAGGCTTTTTTTTTTTTTTTTATTTAAAAAGATCAGGATTCTGAAGCATATATAGAAGACATTTAAAATGTACTCCTTTAAAAATGTAGTTGTCTATAAAATATTTGAACTGAAAATGCCTGATATCATCATTTTTACAACTTTTTTTCCTTCCATAGAAATTGATTAGGTAGACTTATAGCAATCCCCTTTGCCTCCCACATTTTCCAGAAAAAGTAGGTCTAAAACAACCATGGAACAAATACAACATATAATCACAATTTTAAGTAATATACTGTCGGAATTGTACTATGTGAAATATTTAAGACAAACAAAACAAAGCTGAATGAGTCAGAACTACCCCAGTACAGGGGCAAGTTTAAATTGATATTAAGTTGATCAGAAATCCTCTCTATTTTAACAGTCAAAATCAACAGGATTTTTTTTTCTTTCCAGGAGAAGAATAGATTTTACTTTCATATTTATGTTTCCATAAGATCGTGCCATAAAATTCCTGATTAAAAAAAATGGCAGTTTGCATTTTCCTCCATTTGTACATGCCACAGTATGTTGTCCAGGTGGAAAACCCTATTACTGTTTTTGTTCTCTTTTTTGACAGGACAACATACGCTAATCTGTTAGAGGCATGGTGCAGATTTTCAGTCAGTGACGTTCTCTAGCTCCTAGAGTAAGCTTTCTCTCCAGCCCACTACACCAGGATTTGCTGGTGGAAGTTAAACATTGGCAAATGCCTACTTATCTATTACTCTTAAAAAATATTATTGCTTTTCTTAGTGTGTTTGTTTAGATTCCAAAGATTTTTTTTTTTTAAAAGAATTCTGCAGCCTACTAGGCGGAAGGACGTTCCCTTGAGACGTCGCACAGGGACCACGCAGGCGAGCCCTGACACACGCTCCGGGGCTCCTTGCCTCACGAGGACTCTCATGACCGTAACTTGTGCAGACAGCTCTGAGTACTAAGGATCCTCCAGCAACTGGCCTGCTTTCCTTAAGGTACAGTAGTTTGAAATCACGTATTCCTTTCTCTACTAATTCTTTCCTAAAGTCCCTTCATTGTAAAGTTATTCACTATGAAATCAGAGAGTGCCTTCTCCTCGGACAAGGAGCGCCCTCTCCTCCTCCTTTCCAATTGCAGATCATGGTTTGTTTGTTTGTTTGTTTTTTAATTCAAAAGGGTCATCTGTAAACATGAAGTATTTCACCAATGATTTCTGTTTGGTTGGTTTGTTTTTTGAAGAATGTAAAGGTCACTGTTTAGCATGATGTACTTCTCAACGGAAACACATCTACTGCCCTGACTTAGTGAGGAAAACAATAAATTTGGTTTACCAATACAAAATCATCTCCTATCTAGAGGAAGTGCTAAAAATGCTGCAAAAACTACTGCTTTAAGTGCTTTAAGATGAAATCCACAATTCAGAGAGTGAAAAATACACTGGTTTAAGTTAAGGTTGACTGATTTTTTTGCCCATCAGTGGACTAAGCTTTGGTACATTATTAATGTGCTTATCTCTGCATTGGTACACAGATTTATTCTCAGTCAGGAAGACAGCAGCCCTATTGTATACAAGAGCTACCTTTTGCACAAGTATTTAAGAAACTAGCAAAAGGAAGTAATGCCGAAGCTTTGCTCTCTTCTTCGTTATTGAGAAGAAACGTGCAAATTTGGTTAGTGGAAAACAACCCAGGTCTTTTCAATTTTGGTTTAAATTTGGCCACAGCTTTATGTCAATAATCTGAAAATACTGCTGCTAAATCACAATATATTTGAAATAAGAACGTTTTCAGAGCAACAAAAAAACCTGATAGTAGTCCTCACACCTGTACTTTCACTGAGGCTACATAGCTTTCCAGAGTATGAACACTGTGCTTCGGAGTAATTTTTCCTACCATCTTAATATTTTTTATAGCACATGAGAATATTTTTAAATAAACAGATCAATGTAATGTTTTATAGCTGCCTTTGATTTACCAGAGATCACTGATTTTAGTCATTTCTTTTAGAGTTATGTTAGCTTACAACAGTCCCTGCAAAACACTACTGCCAAGAATTTCTAAACTAAAGCTTTGCTCAAGTCAAACAAGCTTAAGCAAACCACATTGGCCATGGTCTGCAGCTTCGGTTTTCTATAAATTAGGAGAGCGAAATCTTTACTGAAGTCAACAGCAAAACTTACACTGATTTCAGTGGAGCTAGGATTTTACCCAGAATTTATGATTATTCATGTCACAGTTAAGTTTATTTACTGCTTCAGATGTATTCCTCTACGTTTTATGATACTTTCATTCTCAGTTGTATTTTTGAAGATCTTCAGCTATAGGGGTATAATTGGGTTTCCTGGATCCTCTGCAATACCCCAACTAGCACACAGAATTAGCTATATAATATAATGGCTGAGAAGCATTTCTGAGATACTGCATGTGAAGTCACCAAACTCTAAAACAAACATTTTAATGCCACTACTTTAAGATCTCACAATATCTGGGACATTATTGCTTAAAGGAAAGATCATTCACGTGTGACATAGTGCAGCCATTCAAACATCCAGCGACATAAGAAATAGGAAAAAAAAACCACATAAGGCCAGAAGCCCTCTGTCAATAAGCTGATTCACTCCGTAATTTACAGTTTCCTATTGCATTATTGCATTAACTTTGTATAGCATTCACAATAACAAAAGCACCCTAGTAACTCTTATATTTATTAGGAAAGTTTAATGAATTTTCCTAAAGCTTTTAAAGTTGTCCTTTCTTCAAGTCAAAAGTAAAAACCTCAAATGACCCCAATAGGAATTTGGCAGACCTCTGATAAACGCTTTAAAAACCCCCATCAGCTGTGCCAAATATTAAGTAATCACTTTATATGCTAAACAAAATAGAAAAAGGTTATCTCAAATGTACCAAATGTTGGGAGCAGGGATTTTGGGATCACAGTAGTTCACTATTGCCACTGGAGCAATATTCTCTTACAAAAAGTAAAGAGGGAGTGGGCAGAGGAGTATACAGTAACAAACAAAGTGAAATTACAGGATCTGTGAACAAAGAGAAAACGAAAGAAAGAGATGCTGGGATCAAATGGAAAGGGAGAGGGGACAGTAGGCGAATTCTCATATAGGGAAGACAGCAAGTATTTCCACTGGCCATTTTAAAAGTGAGTGCTGCACCAACTTTTTTAGTATCTCTTTTGCAGTTGTTTGCTAATTGTAGCATGGCTTTAGAGCTTTTGTGAAAGCAGCTAAGGAAAGATGAGTAAAGAATCATCCAGACATGCTGGACCGCTCCTCAAACTGCTCCTGTGAATACTGGAAGGCCTTTATCTTTGCAATGCTAGAAAGGAAATCCTGTATGAATCATGATTATCCTTTTCCCATGATGTCTGCTGGAAAGCATGAAGAGTGCCATAATTTCCAAAAAATGGCAAAGCATGACTGCTTCTAGCAAGTTTGCCTGGAAGAACACCAGAACGCCTTAAAAAAAAAAAAAAAGTTGTTTTAGTCATTTTCAATTTAAAAGATATAATTCAAAATGAGTACTTCATTGGTAATTTTCAAGTTATTTAGGAAATAATGGGATAAGTTTAAAAAAAGAAAAATCAGTAAGCAGCTGGCATACAAGAGAATTCTTAGCGTTTACATCGTGATGATAACTATAATGCCCCTGACATATAATTATTTTTTTTTTCCAAGAAATGAAAAATAATCAATAAATGAAAAAAAAATCACTGTAGTCAGCAAGCTATCAAGAATGAATTTGGCTCTAATTGGAAGAAATAAAGCGTTACTTCAAGACCAGAACACATTAAAAATATGACAATGAAATAGTAGTGTAAATCTGTTCTAGTCTTTATAATCTAGGTAAAAATTTAATTTCTTTACAGTTCGCAAGTCTGTGGCTACCACACTAAAATAGAGCACTTTTTGTTGTTTTTGTAGTCAAGTATCGTAGCAAGGAACCGAAAGACAACAAACCATTCTAAAAATGGTTACGTTCTACAAGTGCGGCAGAGACACCAAGAAGAATCTAGCTTAGTGAATTACTTTAAGCTTACTCATTTTAGTCTTAGCAAGACTTCTGATACTGCCTTTAGTGAAAGATACTCATTTTTAAAACTTATAGCTCTATTTTATGTGAATGATTTGAAAAAACAATTAGCAATAAACAAACGAGCATGTTTCAAAGTCAAGGCAATCCAGTTTCCTTAAGCAAATATTTATGTAACCAACAATTTATAATGATGACTTTGCAGATTAAGTTTTAACTAACTTTTCAGTGAGTCGCACTTTGAGAATACACTATATGAACAATAGTGTATTTTAATTACTACACACGAATCAGTCTGTTTTACTGCATTTTTTTAAAGTTACACTATTTTAAAAATCTTTTAACTGGAAGTTTAATATCAGAAGTTGAGAGAAAAAACTAAAGACTATTATAACTGAAATAAGGAGTAAGTGATACCCCTCCCTCATTCTTTTATGAATTTTATCAAATGGTTTCTGGATCAATTGGCAAGAACAGAATTAAATTTTGTTACACACTTGGCAAACATATCCCTTAATCTAAATTAACAGCTTAAACCAGAAAAATCAGTGACACAGTCGGAACCTAAGATCTTCCCCCACCCCTCCCCTCTTCTTCTTTTTTTTTTTTGAGCTACCTATTTATGAAGAACAACTAATGCAAACAGACTTATTACTAAAATTACTAAATGACTTGCAACTTTTTTGGAGAGGAACTCAATTGCATATGGTTACAGAACGTTCTCAAAACACTGAGAAGTTGTGCAGAAGCAAACGAGTATATATACCCGGAAGTTTCAAACAACTACCACTGTGGGAATTTCTTTTTTCCACATTTGTCCAGGAAAGTCTAATGTCTCAGCACAGTGACATTTGTACAAACCGATTTGTGTGCTATGCCACTCACTTTTGTAAGTTCTACAGTAAACCCTGTAAACGCTAAAAATAAACACCTAACACTGATATTTTTCAACTAAATTATGGATATACCTGTTGTAAAAATGTAATGTGAGATCAGGAACAATATTACATAAAATTCTGAAAGTCATAGCATAAACCTGAGATTTTGGCAGTTTTATCAAAAATGTCCTAAATTACTTTGTCTGCATCGCTAATCCTTACGTCTTACTCACCATGTACGTCACTGTTTGTCCCAAACAAAGGAAAGCAGACAACCTTTTTTGTCCAACAATACATTAAAACAAAAGTGATTACGTATCAAATTAAATATCATAAATAAAATGTATTTACAGTATTTTCTAATCATTAGACAATAAAATAACCAATTAAATTGTGCAAACTTAAAACATCCAACATCAAAAGAGTGAAGTATTATTTAAATCTTCACAAACTGACTTTACAAAAAACTATTAAAATATTTAAAAATTCCCATTGTATCTATTTTAAACAAAGAAATTGCAAAAATGTTTAAGACTGTTAAGAGTTATCAATTACACAGGCACTTCACATGTAAACAATCTACAGTACAACTGAAAAAAATATTTGGCACCAACCTAGAAGACTGGAAAAACTCAAAACGTGTTCTTTTTCCCATTCAATACTGTTTTGTATAATTACCATAAACTCAGACTACATACTGGCAATGTTAGAAGTGTGTAAGTTACCATCAGGAGTGCAAGAAATAAAGAACTCAAAGGTTAAGCTTTCTGAAAGAGTATTAGAAGTGGATTACATGGGATCAGTCAACTCAGATTTTTACTATCATACCAATGCTACATTTTTGTTTTACCTTTAAATCAAATGATTGACTTTAATCTTTCAAGCAAGGGGTTTGGGTTTTGTACTTCTAAAGAAATTCAAACAACATTTTCAATGTAGAAAAAGAAATTCAGCTTTTAACTGTAACATCAGGAGATGTTACAGCAGCTTTTACGGCAGCTTTTGACTCATGTTAACTGGAAAGAGAACTTCAACCTCTTTGTGCATCCAGTTACAAACAAAAAAAAAATCAGTATGTTCTGTTAACTGTCAGCTGACTCCCAGGTTTTATGTATAACTCCAAAGTAAGGCTCTCTATAGCATCTGGACACATTAGTTTTTGATGGCTTGGATGTTCCAATTTAGGAAGCTAAATTGCCCCAGAGCAATCCATATCAACAGACTGAATGGTAAGTTGCTTAGCTTCCAAGAAGTCATGTTACATGGAGGAAAGCTGAGAGAGTTTCAACGTAGGTAACTCAAGCAGAGCTTGAACTGTGAGGCCAACTTTCACCAGACCCCTTTCCTCCAGTATGTGATGAGGCAAGCAAAGTCTTTCCTGTAAAACAAAGTGGTACATGTATTATGCGTGATGCATTTTTTCCAAGCTGGGTAACAAAAGTATTTTCTCTGACGTAACATATACTTGCTGTTAAACATTTGCATAGAAACTGTATTTGACTTTAGATTTTGCATGTGGCTCTCTAGCGTAACAGAATGCTCAGAAATTAATTGCATCTAAGATCTTACAGTTTGAGGATGAAAAATTCACTCAAAACTATGAATGCATAACCAGTAAAAAGAACATTTAAAATGTTAACCTACAACAACAGCAGAAGATACATAAAAGTCCGTGCTAATTTCATAAAGCCAAAGACTCCATTTCTTTTCACAATCAGAGCGAGGCTGATGGGCAGTGCTGGCTCAGTGGCCTACTTCCCCCTCCTGTTCTTTTGTAAAAGAGACTACTAAAAAGCGCTGATAGACTGGGTCCTCACTAATGAATCATTCCCCAGTGAAGTCATCTTTCAATTCAAAAAGGCTCTGACAGCACAACCCAGACTCCTCCCCGCCCCGCCATGCTGTTACAGGTAACTCAGTACTTGAATCTTTGAATCCTCAACTTCTGAAAGACCTGGGGCTTCATGCAAGACGGAAGCTGAGGCAGGGCAGAAACCCATGACTCTAAATTCATGAACTGATATTCTTGTTCCAGTGAAGTGGGTTGAGAGAGATTTGTGTCTCTCCTAAAATGCAGGAGATGGTTTAACGTTCTCCCCCATGCTGAAGGAAGTAAGAGGATGAACTTGAGCAACAGGAACATGAATAAAGAGCTGCAACTACAGCTGTGCTAGAACAGTTAGCTATCAGTAGGCTACACATTTCTGTAGCATGATCTGCAAGATGTTTCCTAGGCAGACACCGAAATCCATGCCAAAGTTGAGTTGCTAAACTAAGACTTTCAAATATTGCAGCAACAATTATCTTGCATCAGTATTTTGTTATTTGTTTTACAAGGAGGTCAGTATCGTTTTTACTGCAAGGCATTAACTAGAAACCCATAGAGATGGGTGGCTTGCTCAAGTTCATGCCACTGGCCAGAAACGGGAGACTTGACTTCTTTTCTTATCATTAAAGTTCCCTGGTCAATGTTACAATCACTAGGCTCCCTGAATTTGTCCAGAAAAATGAACTGCAGTAATGCTGACATCTGCTCTGTGATTATTGCAAATAAGTCAATAAAGCAGTTAGTATACCTGTGGAACGCCCAATTTTTTACAAGCATCAAGAAAGTTTTCAACATTTCTTCGGCACTTTGCCATACTGAGTTTAGGCTGTAAAGACAGGATGTTAGATCTTTGTCATACACTTGTAAAGGATTGTATATTTCTGATGCAAATTCAACAACAGTTGCTAAAACACAAACTAGAACTAGAATACAGAACAAATTCTGTGAAGATTCAGTATATGACAACAGCTTTTAAACTAAACTTCTGAGCCTTGTTTAATGCTTCTCGAAGGAACACCAAGGTGGGGAATGCAGTCAATTAATGAGATAAACATGATTCAAGATTTTTTTTAGTATTGAGCTTTAACAGCTTGTTTTCATGCAAGATGCAATAAAAGTGAGATAAATGACTTACCACTGCTGGCGATGGTACGTGAATGCTGGCAACGGAACGTGGCCTTATGTGATTGGCTAAATGGCAAAGAACGACTCCATCCATCAATGCTGATCCAATATCATCTGGCAAAATTACTTTTAACCTTGATTCAAGATTCTGTTAAACAAAGAAAATTCCATAGGTAAATCACTTTCAACTTTGGGTTAATTTGTAATTTTAAATCCAGAATTTTTTAAAGCATTAAGTTTAAAAAGGACACGTTAATACTAAAATGAAGTAAATGGAGTCAGCTCACGCTGTACTGAGTACAAATATGCTTTCTTTATATCATTAACCTTACATTCTTTCTGCTCAGTTTTTTAATGGCACAATTAGACACACTGAGAAAGAGAGTCTGCCAGCTACTACCATGGCTCACAGCTCTCAAAACCATACGATGAACTAACTACATGTAATAGGAAAGCACAGAATTTAACAGCAGAAATCACACACAGATTTACCAGGAAAAATAAGAGGGAAGAGAGGAACACAATCACTTTAGGCATGGTTGATGTTTCATTCCTGTGCCAAGTGATAGTTAAACGGGGCAGGAAATGGTGGCCGGGAAGGTCTCACACTTGTGTTGCAAGACAGAGGGGAAGCAGGGAATGTTTTCTGTCCTGTTCCAGCAACAAGCCTTCACTGCTCAGGAAGCAGACCAGACAGAACAGAAACAATCTTCACAGAAATTACAACCCAAACTAGCACTACCCTGGAAAGCAAAGCTGCAACCACACCATATATCATTCACAATGAATTTACAGGAATTACAGTGAATTAACTAAAATTATTAAATATCTTGAAAACAGGCCTATGCAGAAAACAATTTATTAGAAGTTTGAAATTTAGATCCCATTTGATATTAGACAATTCATAGCACATTTCTACAAAAAAAAGAAAAAACCCACACTGTTCTTCAAACCTCAAGTAAAACACACAAACAGTAGCACACACTAAATTAGACTTACGGTCTCCCTAGGAATGTCAGAAACCTAAAAACATTTTCCCTGCATTCAGCTAAAACAACTTTTGGTTCCTGTGGACCAAAAATACTACCAATGTGGTCTGGGGTATAAAGGAAGCCCAGTGATAGACTTCTGTTGTTTAATTTAACTGGGTAACTGCCTGTTGTTAGACAGGTAGAAAGAGAACTCTGTTGCACAAAATTCTTTGGAAAGAAACATTACTGCAGAGATGCCCTAGTACAACCAGAATGATTCCCAGGCCTTTATTATAAAGGTGTAATTTGTAGTACACAGCAAACTAAATACACTGCACCCAACAGCTTGAACCAATATACTAAATAAGGGTACATACATTCCGAAGCTGTCTTATTTGTTCCCTTTCTTCCCTTAAATGCTCCATTTTCCTCCTCATTGTAAATCCAGGATCCACTGCTCCATAGTCCTGGCGAGATGTACGGCTAAAAGCTGTTGAACATTAGTGAACTTAGTTTTCAGAATTCAGATTTAAAAAATAAAATGACGAAAAATCCACCAACAAGGACAAAACGGGGGAAAAAAGTTGCCTAACTTTTCGGAACTGATACTTTTCAGAATCCTAAAGAAAAGGCTACTTGCTATGAAACAACTTTCCAAGTACATGGATCATCTTATTTAAGTGCAAACCTGTAACTAGAAAGTATGGAGGCAGAATACACAATACACAAATATGTTTGATGTATATAACTACCTGTGTACATTTGTAAGCTTATCCTGAAACCTACTCTTGGAATTATTTTCATTATATTTTATTTTTAATGAAGTATAAAGTCATTATGGAGACGAAAAAGGGACAGAATTCCCTGATATGACTTCTAACAACAATTTTTTAAATAAACATATATATATATATACATACATACACACACACACACGCATGTGGGTATGTGCACATGGTGACTGCTTACTAAACAGCCAACTGAAAAAACATGAAATTTCTTATCATCCAGAAGTTCAGAGTGCTTCTCTAAAATGTCTGTTAAATACTCTTACCTACATATTCATTACTAATTTTCACTGCCAGAAAGCTTTTAATATGATCAATCGTATTATTAAAGATTGCACAGTGGCCTTGCCAAACTACATTTTCCGATCCAATATTCATATTGGCAGTTCCAAACAGAAGAATACTGCACCAGCTTAAAAAAAAAATCCCCAAAATCTGTATTATTTCTTCCTAGAGTTCAGAGGAATGAAAATCTGCTTTAGACAATCCCATCTGACACAACTGTCCTACAGGGGGAATGGCAGACTCTGGAAGACCTGGGCATCATGAGGCACGAAGTCATTAGACTGGCAAAGCACTGCTCCACAAATCCTTTCATAGGACAAATTACAAAAACCTACTTCTCTTGAAACCCTCCTGCCTCAGCCATCAGTTCTCAAAAAAAAAATTGCATACTGTCCCCTGTTCTTTGTGGGTGACTAAATACATAGAAAATAAACTAATGAAATAACAAATCACTGTGCAACTTGGGCAACTTTCAATTATTAGTTTGCCAAAGCAGCTGTCCATCCCTTTCCCAGTACTATGCTTGTGGTAAGTACACCGAGTAGATTGCTGTACTGTGGCATCTTTGTATTCGTTCCAGTTCATGCATCTGCTATCCTTATTGTCTGTTCCAGCCTGGGGAATAAACATCTGTTCTATCATGCTATGTTAAAGAAGAGCAGCTTACCTGACCTTGGTTTGAGACCAAATGGACCATGAGTGTTACTGTCTGTCCTTTCATAATCCTGTTAAAAGAAATAAAGTCAAATTTCTTCCACTCATTTAAAGAATTAACTTTTGTTCCCATCAAGATAAAGTTTAAATGATTCCTGTCTAAAGCAAGTCCTTCTACTTAACAACACTTAGCATCAATTTTTTTTTTTAAAGAAATATTTACTTTGAATGATGAAGACCAGTTTTTCTCATGCCACCATCTAATACAAGAAATGCACTCAGTAATCTGATATGTACAGAAAGCTTCCTTATTTCAACTCCTCTCACTTTATGTGGCAGATGTTTTCCTCATTCTGCTCCCTCAGGTTCCCTTTTGACACTAGGTAGAAACAATTATCATCTTTGGTATATTTTATTCATAGCTTAGTAGCGCAGTCACAGCGAGACTTGCATGGATTTTCCTTAAAAAGGAAAACAACTGATGAATCAAGCTGTGAAGCTGTATCACAGAGGTGAAGATAGAATGGTGAAGGATGAAATCCCTTAAAAAGTCTCAGCATCTCTGCGTTCCCTATGATGGACAAAATACTAAACCTAAAGTATTTAAAATCTTCTGAACTGCTAGTTCAGTGTGGACACCTATAAAATGTCAAATTTGATTTCTCTTATTAGTCATTTTCATTACAAAAGATAAGGGAGACCAAACAAACGCATCCTTCTAACAAATCAATCAAAAAAAAAAAAAACACACCCCTAGGGGAGGTCAGATAGTTGCAAAGGTAAAACAAGTTGAAAAAATTAACATTGTGTTAATATCTGTCTCTGATTCCTATTTATAGCTGACTTTTTATTATGAAACGCATGTGAAATATTTCTAATTCCAGCTTCAAAGGAAACTAACAGCTTAATATTTGCATGGGAAACCTAGTGACAACAGTAACGTGCATAAAGAAATGTTTGTCGAATGAAAAACAAAACCACAAACTTGTACCTCAGACGACACAGGAGACTGTGGGGACACATTAGTATTATCACTGTCTTGCTAAAAAGAAATCAGAGATGAAATTATAAAATGAAAATTATGATTTAACAAGAAAAGCATGGAATTATGAAATACATACACAATACATAAAACATGCAATATCTGTCAAGCATGGCACACTGGTAGCAACTGCTCTGAAAAACATATAGAGTCAAGTAAATACTGTTCACTGTTTAGGTAGGACATTACTCTTACGTTACCTCTGCCTGATAGCTGAATAGCCTTTCCTATTACCAAAGCATGTAAATACCCTCTTTCTCTTCAATATACCACCTTACTGACTTTTTTTTCAAATAGAGGAGTGTAATAGCTATTTCGCTATATTCATCCTATGGTTTTGGAATGCAAAGCTGGTTTGCCAACATTCTCCTGTTCCATAACTGTGGCTAAGTGTTCATAAAATACAAATAAATAAAACACTTTCTTAAATATTTTATATGATTACCATGTCTCACCTCATCATTTTCATTCCCACTTGAACTCTTTCTGGAAGACTTATACTGCAAAACACACACAATAATACTTTAAAATGCAAGTATGATTTTCATTTGAACCAAATGGCTTGGTATCAGCCAGATGTTACTTATTACTGATAAAGCAGCTGACAAAAAACAAAACAAAAACAAAACACAAAATACCCCCCAAAAACAGAATTGTCAAAGGAGGGGAAAAAAAAAAAAAAAAAGGAACATGTAGTTCCTAGGTTAGTCAGGAACTTCTTTATGCTGATTAAAGGACAATTGTATTTCAAAAATACATACTGTTACAATGCGAACTCTGACGGCATATGCATTTGATCCAAGTGAAGAGATCTGAGCAACTGTTACTCCGAAGCACTAATTATTAGTAAAAATTGTACAATCCACAGAAGTAACAAAAAGAAACGTGCTACAAAGACAAAGAAACGCGGTATGTGTAAAGGACCAGCCTACCTCTTTTTATGATACAATATATAATATAGGCTGGATTAAAAGACTAACTCTGGAACTAGAAAGACAGCTCTCCGCCAGAGATCTGACTTTCAAGCGATGCAAGCAGGTTGTAGCTAGATTAATTTTAAGGGAAGAAGAGGGAAGGAAAAACTCTGACCAGCAACTGTGTTCTTTAAAATATATTAATAAATACATAAACTTATATAATTCTGATATATAAAGTTATATTCATTAGTTATGCATAGAAGATGCTCTTCCTCCTCAAAGTTATAGCTCTGAGCACTGTTGGAGGGTTTACAGCTCCACATTCAACAGCTCCGGTGAAGCCAGGATCCAAAGCTTAACTATAAGCTATTCCGGCAAAAACGCTTTTGGTTGATAAAATTGTCTTCAGTAGGAAGGTTCTTTTCAAATGGCTAGCACAACAAAGCTTTTCAGGTGCCAGCCAAAATTCTGTGCCATGCCACCAAAAAAAAAAAAAAAAAAAAAAAAAAAAGGCATTCTGACTCTCACAGGCACAGGCATTTCTCCACCCTTCTGCTGTGTAATAGAGCTGTCCAATAACAACGTACAAATTGTACAATAAAGACACTCTGCATGTATTTCTGCATGCTGACACAAGTAAATTTTTCCTATTGAACGATGCCCATTGCAATAATTTGGTATGCATTCTTGATTCTCATTCACATCTGAAGTCAGCAGAAGTCACGTTAGAATATAACTCCCTGAATTCCTGAGGAAAAATAATTAATAGCTGCTATACCCCAAAAATATCTCAGGTATGTAAGCATGTTCTATTTTTCCTAGAATTTAATTTCTTAGAAATTCCCTAGCATTTCATGAAGGCTATGGTTTAGATGTTTGATGGTAGAGACCCAAGACACTCATTTCATAAACCAAATAAATTTAATTTCAGCTCAATCTAGCACTGGTCAGAAATATCCCATTTCTCTACGATATGTGAAAACAAATGCTATCTGACAATGTAGTAAATCTGAACCTGCTTCACAACAGGCAGACACTGACATCTGGTGACCGATGATACATACCACAAACAGCAAAATAACCAGTACAGAGTGCGTTTCCCCTCTAAAACGCAAACTGATGCGGAAAGATCCAAAATGCACAAATAATTCTTATAATCATGCTGCACAAAAAGGTGATGTACATTTTCCTTAAACTAAAAGCAAAATCCCTCAAGTTCGACCCAAACTGGGGAAAAACCAAAGACTGAAGATCAGTTTCTGGCTTTACCAGAAGACAATTGCAGATTGCCTTCTTTAATTAAAAGAATAAAGATAAGAAGAAAGCTTTTAGTGGATTTTTTCCCCCAACCAGTTTTCCCGAATTCTGACCTTACCCTGAATACCTATATATTATCAAACTCAAAAGAATAAATGAAAAACTAGTCACATGCAAAATTAAAGGCACAACCTTTTACTTTGCTATATAGTTTCTTTCAATCTCTTCCAAAAAGTAAAAGAGACAAAAAAAGAGAAAGAAAAACCCACCAAAACTTTTGCATTGCTTAAAGGAAAGAAAAAAAAAAAGAAGAGCCTGAAGAATCAAGACAAAGGAAAAAAGAAAGCAAACTAAATACCCCCCTCATATATACCTTGAAATACTCTTTTCTAATTTGTTTACTTCTCCTTCTTTCTTCATTCTGCCAAATCACTGGCTGTGTTTCTGGCCACTGCTGCTCATCCATTGGATCCTTCTGGTTTTCCAATGGCTGCAAGTTTCAGAAACATTTTTACATGACAGGTACATACGCAAGTGTGCATTAACACAAATTATTATGAACTACAATTATAAACAGTTTGCTACAATTATAAACTGCTTGCCTCTCTCATAATCTAGCTTTACGACACAAAAACATTACTAGTTTCAATGATGGTCCAGGTGGAAATCACTTCCTCCCTTTCAAATTCTAGAACATATTTCATAGAGGAAAAACCATCTATAAAATAATTAAAAAACGAAAAAAAACCACACCCTTTTCTTCATCTACTGCACTAAGCCTGATTTTCACAGGTTTGTTAAGAAATCACCTAAGGCTACCATAAATAACTGCTTGTAAAGCCAGTTAGAAGTGTGGTTACCTACTAATGCATCTAATTTCTGCATATTCACTGCACTGGAAAAGGATGGCTATTACAAAACAATTTTAGATAAGAACAGCAAACAGGTACTTTTAAAAAAAAAGGTAATATACAGCAAGTGGCAGTATAAAAACTCTTTAGAACATGTTGGCTAATACAGTACTTTGAAGGGGACAGTTAAAGGAGATTTGTTGATAAAATAACAATGAATATGTATACATATGTATACTCTATGAAAAACAAAAGCAGACAGTCCGAAGGAAACATGCCATAATAAGGACAAGACATAAAAATCACATTTCCAAAGACTTCTTTGTTTTAGATTATCAGGCCATATAAAGCAACCATAAATAACTAACGAATTAAAATGCAAAACAACAATTAAAAAAACTCTTTAAATTTTTTCAATGAGGTGTGGAAAGTGAAAGACCTATGATTCAAATTAAAAAAAAAAATGAACAATGTGGTGAGGCAATAAACTTACATGTAAAGAAATTCAAAAAACAATATGTGTCTCATTAGTTTCAAGATTTTAAGTATTTAAGCCTTTAGCATTACATTCTCAAAAAAAACCTGTCCCCCGTATTACGAACATAGCACAAGTGAAATTGTCTTGAAACAGTAAGGGAACGTTTTTGATAGGAAATAGTGAAACTTTCACTGCGCTTTCTTACTGCTTGACATGGTTTTATATTTAGACATTTACCTGCCAACTGTATGGAGACAACGGAGAATTCCCTTCATCTGTTGAGACACTAGAAGTTAAGAGGATAGACATTATTAAATTTCCATACTACATTTCTATATACTATAACATCAAGTAACTTTAAAATTCAAAAAAAAGGAAAACTATTGAAATGCAGCTTCTCTGCAATACTATAATACTCTGGCTTGCTGAGCAGTGATATTACAAAGTGTGGCTAAAAGGATGACAATTTGATTAAAATCTCAAATAGTATTTCACTCTCCTCTATTGTATGCTGACAATACCTCTTACACCATACTATACTTCATTAAGCAAAGGCTGTATCTGAATAGTTGTTGACTGATCTTAAAAAAAAAAAAAAAGATCACTAACGTACCTTAATTGTTTTGCCCCTCAAAGAGGCAAATACGCATCTCTTTCAGAGAAAAAAAAGTATATTTGTTTGGAAGAACCACATACTTTATTTCATTGTTATGTAAAAGCCTCTACTGTGTAGTGATAACAATAAAAGGGACAAATATTTTAGGATAGAACAATGAAACGGCAAAACCTCAGAAACATACTGAGGCGCCAAGGAGAGTGCCTGAATTTAAACTTTTTTTTCAAACAGAAAACTTCAAAGTTGGCGTCACCTTAAATTCTCTGTCAGAATTTTTTGTGAAGCTCACTTCTGCTCTCCTTAGCAGCAACCACGTCGCTCACATCCTGACAACTGAGGCAGAAAACAGGCTTGGAAGCTGTGAGGTACACCAAAGGGCTAAAAGGCAGGGACTGAATGCAAGAAGATCCTAACACCCTGATCAATCGTAATAAATTCTTAACGGAGAGCAAAAAGGCACATAAAGTAAGACTGACTTTCTTAACTCCTGTTACCTTCCATTCCTTCTCCTTCCTTTTCCTTTCTGTTTACCTTAAATCAATAATCCTACATTTTAAAGCTGTCAGCTCTCTGGCATAGGGAATTTGGCTGAACGATGTCCGTTACCGCGATAAGTGATCTAGTTGAGAATTCCAGGAACTGCTGCAACAGATAATTCATTTCTGCTGTTGATACGTGCTGGTATCTATTCACTATGACATGTTTTCACGAGTGGACATTCTTCAGGGGTGTGACAGCCTTTCTCTTCTATTTGTATGTACCTTTCCCAGTGACTAGGGCTCCTACACATCAGTGCAATGAAGTAACGAGTAGTCTGTGACATTTACCTTCTACACACACCTCACACAAAATGTGTTTTTTTTTAAAAAGGAAAAACAAACAAAAAATCCTAAAAAAACCTCAGAGCTATTTGTTTCAGGTAAAAAACAGCGTAAGGCAAATGTAACCTTCCCTGGATTCCCCTGTAACGTGAAGCTTGACATAGCTGTGCTCTACAGCAGGTGACAACATCCCAAAGAACAGAAACTGTAGGGTAAGTAACCGAGGACAGGAACGCTTCACGTGCAGATGTGTAACAGTTGCAGCATGGTTCATGTAACCACAGGAGAGGCGATTTTTCAAAGTCTCAGATACCAATGAGAGAGAATATAGCCAAAATAGGATGCATCACATGGAAACTGTCTTGATATTTCACTTTTCTGTTTGGATGAGTGTTTTCCTGATCTACACCTGGACTGCACAGCACTGTAGAGAGCAGTCACCACCCACGGCGCTCTCTAGCAACACCAGCAATAACTACGGGCTCTCATCTCCCAGATTCAAAGTCGAACTGGGGTTTGAACACAGGCAGACAGAGAGTCTTTCGAAGGTGCGGATTTTAAAAGACACTGAGGCTGGCAAAAGTCACAGAAGCCCTCCCTCGCTGCATGGATGGAGTTCTCTCCAGGCAGCAGTCAATCACCTCTCCCCCCTCCGGCTGAAGAGTCAGAAGATTATTTCTTGACCAAACTGATTCCAAGAACTGGCCTAGGATTCCTTAAGGAAGAGGAAGCCAAAAACTTGCAAGGTTCTCTCTCACTCGTATGGGCAGCAAAAGGAAGCTGTTATTTCCTGATTTCCTAGAGACAAAGCTCTGCCCCGTCTCCTGTTTCACATTCACAAAAGCAGCACAGGATACGCGCACAGCTCCTGCGGACAATGGTATTAAGAGGCTTGTTTCTGTTACACAGACTATCAAAAGGGGATTCCTCACTGACACGTTGCCCACCAAAACTAAAAGGTTTTACAGGCTGCACTCCCATCAACACTTTTCAGACAGCTCATGAGAACACAGAAGAACTGCCAAGGTAGAAAATTCAGATGCCTAAGCACAGATACAATGCCATTTCGTACAACTCAAAGTATCCAACACATCTGCATGGGACTATTTATTATCCAGGGGAGATGTGTCCTTCTGGACTGGAACTGGAAGCAAGACAGGATACTTTAGGATATCTAAAATGCCACTGAATGCCTATGTTTAGGTGTCTGGACCGCTCCCTGAATCAGACCCACCCATGAGTTTATGGCATCAACTTTCATGGCTCAAAAGAACACCTTTGACTTTTCCCCTGAAAGAAAGAAGCTAAAAGAGCAGATTATCTGTGTAAGTCCATCTTCAGCTAAAACAATAGGACAGAAGATGGCAGTACTGATATGAAATAAATATCACAATTAATATAAAGTATTGAAAGCTGTGATACAGCAAAGTATATCAATACCATTTCTCAGATTCCATTGGCTGCTTCGGTCTGTTCCTCGTGCTTACTGAAGCTGAATGATTAAGAAGCCTGGAATGGAAAAAAATGCAGATTTATCCAACAGCTTTGTAGTTAAGGCTCTTTTCAGAGTATACGGCACTTTCAGCGTGCAACTTTTCCTATAAAGAAGAGTTTTGAACATTAAAGTAGCATTTTTCATAACATTAGAATATGCATGTGTACTATGCACATATGAAACCCAAGCCCAATCCTGCTTCCACTAAAATCAACAATGCAGTTTCCAGCTCTCGTAGTATTTCAAGTTTTGAATTTTAAGCAAGTAAAACCTGATCATAATCCAAACAAAATGAAGGCTCCTCTTACTTTTCCTTGACAAATATACACCATCTTAATTGTTCTCACACCTTTGTGAGGTTATGCTGCCCTCAAAACAAAAGGCCACACAGTTCACTAAGAGTAGAAGAGACAGGTAGATGGTGGAACTAAAGTGAATAGGAAGTGATACAGAGACTGAGCACAAGAAGTTAGTCAGACTGCAGGAGCAGGTAAGAGGACAGCTCAGTAAGAAGAGTGCAAGTGCAAAAGAAAATGCAGGAAAAAAAGGGAGGAAATGGAGACACATGGCATGGGATTTTAGGCGCAGAACAGTAAGAGAGAAGACTAAGGCAGAAATAAAGAAACGAGGCAGGAATGAGCCAACAAAAATTCTATTTTTCTAAGATTTAATCAATCAAAAAAAGCCTAAACTTTATATTTAAATTCAGAAATGTTTTCTCATCTGAAACAAACAAGTACCCTGCATGTACGCACACAGGCAGAAGATATAAGCTCTCTACTTATAAGAATGTTTAAAGCATAACCCCACCCCACGTGCCCCCCAAAGATCAGAGAGCAAATCAATCAGAAACACTTAAAATTAACCATTTGCAAGTGAGTGCCATGTTGACTAGTAACCAAAATCCTTAACTTTGAATTCTAATGTTTAATTATAGAGAGAACTAAAATTTGTTAAGAATTAGAAAGAACTGGAAGACCATCAACAATTTAATGGAAGAAAGTAAAACAGAGCAGACACCTTCATTATATATTTCCTTATCATCCTTATCCTACACAGGGCAGTACAATAATTAATTTTAAAGAATCAATGATTTTCAGTCCGGCATCTATGAGTATTACGATAACTTTGAGCGGAGTAATCTCATTTCTAGCTTAGATCTCTGATGGTATGAACCTCAATTTAATGGGATTATGACAAGTTAAACCCGTAAAATAAGATAATTTAGTCTGCAGTATCTGCTCCTTAGGATTTATTTTCAGCAAGTTAATTCTGTGGGAGCTTTCAGGAATTAAACTATATTACACCCAGGAAAAAAAAAAATATTACCAAAACAAATTAATATAGAGGGCATAAAATAAACAAGGTGGTTTTCAGTCATTGCTTTTCAGGGAGAATTCCCATTTAAATTAAGCTTGTCTCTTCAAATGAAGCCAAAGAGAAATTCAGAGAGGCTCTGTGGCAAGATATAACCATTAGAATAGAATGGGTTTAATAAATAAATAAATAAGACTCACCTAAGCACTATCACCACAACTGACTAGCAGTGTACATTTGATGACTCTATGTAATAAAGGTCATTACATTTTTTTTTTTAAAACAAACTCATTATATGAGGCCTTGGGAAAAGTTATTCCAAATAATGCCAAACATACATATGCTTTTTAGCTAAACTGGTTCCTGAAACATGTATATAATTGACGTTTGAATTTATTAAGTTTTCCAGTTATGTTCAAATATATTTTAATACTTTGTAAAAAAAAAAAAAAAGAACAATCTTTTTAAAAATTTCCACTTTCAAAACTGAAGATAGGGAAGGATAAGTAAGTCCATTATGTCAGGTTAGTAGTTACGAGTCCAGTCAGAACTATGAATTTCCTATGGAGCTAGGAATTTAAATTATCAGTTCAAGAAAACTGTAAATGTGTAAATTAATATGACTTTACAAACTTCCATAGACTAAGGAATTCAATGCAAAATAATTCATTTAGCTGGAAAAGAAAAAAAAAGCTACAGTTGTATTAAAAATATGATCTGTTTTAGAGAAAATAAAATACAAAATGGAGCGTGCAAAATGAAAGCGTGTGCGGCTCCAGTTCTGAAGTTATGCTCTTTTGAGTGTGGTGCTAATGGCGCAAAGAGTCCAGCAACCATTTCTGTCCATATTACAGCTCATTAAATCCAGAATTTTCTATTTTGTTAGATCAATCATCAGCCAAACGACTCTTATTTATGCTCATACCTAATCCTTAAAAAGAAATTTGTACATATAGTCATAACACATTAGTGTAAGTATTGCAGTTAATTGAGTACTTATGGTTCACACCAGTCACACAAAGTCTGCTGTTACACAGTTATTGTATAAGCTTTCCAAAAAAATAGATTATGAAATTCATAAAAACTTTGAAACATAAATTACTCAACCACATACACACTGCTACATATTTGCATACACTAAACAAAAAACAACACTAACTCACTTTTCCAATTCTAATCATCATGTAAGCATAACATCCACTCCAAATTGCTGACTAGATGGGAGAGAAAGGTAACGGCAAGGCAAACTATGTTGCTAGGAAATATTTTCCAAGGTTGGAGAATTTAAAAAGTGGAATCTCTTCTAAACAATCTTTTGTTTGCATTTCCTGAGTAAACATAACGCCATGCTTAAGAGACGCAAACAAAGCGAATAACGTCAATTATTTTAAGGATAGCTGCTTCCAAGTTTAAATTAGTAAGGACTATCTGGGATTTATAAAGTGTATAAAGACACAATAGCTTTTATAGTGAGTCAGAAAAATAACTCTTGAGAGATCTTGAACTCAGGAGTCAAGATCCCATTCCTTTGGGAACAGTCTCCTGTCTTCACACCTGGCTTGCTACTTTGTGAGAGTAAGATGCACTCTTGCAGATTCAGAGAGCTTTAGAAAGTCACTGCTGTCTGCTGAGCATCTGTATTTCACATTCACGCAAAGTGAAACCTCCCTAAGGAAGGTTATTTAAGCTGAGGTATTGCACTTGCTGTTGAAGCAGACCAGGAGTATCCAGAATAAGTAGAGTTTCATCTCACAAGGTGACAAACTTTGAAATCCCTTGATTCATCACATACATGTCTGACCACAACCTATACGGTCCCATTTTGGATTTCTTGTCCCCTCCGAGGTTTTTCTATTTGCTGTTTCCTCCCTCAGGAGGAAACATTGTTTCCTGTTAAATACAAAAGAAGTTGTCACCAGTTCTGCTAATTTGAAAGTGATCACTTTAAAATCAAAAGCTCTAAAAAACCTTTTGCCTGAGGTGCTGCACTTTCATATTCAAAGACAACTGCTGGAGATAAAACATGCCAAAGGTAAAGGAAATTGAGTTCACGCGAGAAGCTGAATCTGTTTTGGACAGTTGTCTAATTCCATGAAATATTTTCCTTGCATTTCATCCGAAATAACATTAAAAGCATTGCCAACTATTTTCTATTATAAAATATCTTAGGCTAACTTAGTCAGTTCCTTTATTCTGGCTTTGCTCAAGACAAGGCCCAAATTGGTTCTTTTGTCCATATTTTGTCTTTGGAAATCTGAAGATCTACAAGCACTATATACCTTGATGCACGTCCTGCCGCCCTTGTCCTCTGGAAGAGTTTTTCACTGAATGAAGTTCTATAGCTTAATGGCCTTCGTCTGTATTCATATTTCATGCACATCAAAGCCAAAGACGGAAGAAGGAAGCAGGACAGGTTGATGGGAGAGGACAAGGAAGTCAATAGCATAGCAAGCAAAAAGAAAAGAGAAAGACTGCATAATATTAAAAGAAAATACACTGAATGAATAGAAGTATGATTAGTCAGAAATTATTTCATGATGCACACTTTTCTGAGAATTCTATTTGCTCAGGTTGAGCTATGCATATTTTCTACAAATAAATTCAGAAAAGTCTTGACTTAACTTCTAAATATTATTCTCATTGCTGTCCACAGAAAAGTTATAAATTCACAAAACTATGGATTCACTGAATTACACTTTAAGTAATTACGATTTTGTTCCTATGTGTTTAAGGATGAATAAGCAAGCTTTAAAATATAAATGCTAAACTAAGACGTAAAACTTCACAAATAAGATTATGTATGCACGACCAGCGTAAGAGCAAAGTAGCATCATTAAACATTTAAACTTATGCAGCTATCATGTTAACAACAGGAAGATTTAAGCTACAATACTTGAGAAGAGGAGTGGCTTGGTATTTCAAATGATTAGATAATCAGGAAATATTAAAAACAAACAAATCCCACATGCAATATAAACAACCATCATATAAAAATATAGTATAAGAAAACATTAAGATTCTCCCTCTATTCATATATTAAGCAATATAGGAAAGAATTAAATTTTTTTTCCCTTTTTTTGCAATACTTTTGTTGATAGAAAATATTAGCATTAAGATTGCATTTTTATTTTTTCCTTCCCAATGGGAATGGCCAAATACTTCAATACAGGGGACAGAGTTAAGTGAAGTGTATTTTAGTTTTTCTTCACATACTACTGCTGTTATAGTCAACTCATCTGGAATACGGGTGAATTCTTAAACATCTGCAATTCATAGTCACAAGATATCACCTTCTCTAAGGGCTTCACGTGTATTGCAACTGTCTTTAAAGAAAAATGGCAGCACAGAATCTCATTGCTATACAGAAAAACAAGAGAAACAAAAATAGTATTTAATCTGTTCTGAGGCTGAATCCATTACTTCAGGGTTAACAAACTGCTACTTAACTACAACTGCTATTTTTCAGGAAGACAGCTTACTGTCTCCAAAGTACCTCATTGCTTATTTTCCTGCTTGGTTAAGAAACCAGAGAACACAGTTCCTACCCTAACCTATCCACATCTTATGCCACTTTAGGTATTCCTTCCTGCTTTTCCTTTGATCCGGTTGCTAATTTGTTCTACTGCATCCCTTCATCCTGCCTCTTGTTCTACTTTTCCTTTTCAAGAAACTTTCAGTTGTGATGCCAACATGAAGTGGAGGAAGTCAGACAGTTCACCATGATGAACTCCTGCTATTCAAATCCTATATATATAGGCTCTGTCATTTGAGACACGAGTATTTGAACAAATTTCCCCTTCAGTCCGTAGGAAACGTGCATCTCACATCAAACTGGATGGAGGAACCACCACCTAAATTACCTTTATTTCAATAAAACAACCAGCCCCACACAAACTGCATGCAGGTTCTGTAAACACAGACAAAATAAGGCAAAATAATTTGAATAGCTCACTAATAATCTCCTCATACCAGCAACACCCATACCTACATAAGTGTCTTGCTTTTTTGGGGCGGGGGGAAGGGGAAATCAAGAGACTTTCACATTCCTCTCTTCCTTTCCCCATGATGCATAGAGCTGCTTCTCTAGACAGCAATTTTATGTAAAGAAACGCAGGATAAATATCTTGGCAGAGTCTGTCGATTAAGCTGTTAAATAGCTGGATAAAACTATTCTCAAAATGAAGCGTCAAGAAGTTTTGGTTAAAGAATTTAATTAATTCTTTAACCTTTAACTAATTTATTATAACATACAAGTTATCTGACCTAATATTGTAATACCTGTGTTTTTGTTCTTGCTGCAGTAACTGAGCTGCTATTTTCCTCAGGTCAGTCACTTCTTTGATTTCATCATCTTCTTCAGGCAGGAGCTGTTCTTTCTGAAGTCTTAAAAAAATAAACATTACCTCAGTTTTAAAGTTTATAGTTTTCTTTAGATTATGGAAATTAAAGTAGATTCTTTAGTCAGGCAAGATAGAAACAGGTACATCATTGGACAATAATTAAACAGGCCTCCCTAAAAGCTTACTTTCTGTCCAAGTAGGAATACTTTGCATGTCTGATAGACTTGTTTCCTCCACATGCAAGTTTAAAAACACTCCCCCTACTCCCACAAAGCCTTCCCAAAAAGACATAGATTTACCTTTTTTCATCTCCCCACTCTTCATTCCGTTGCGTCTTCTGGGTTTTCTCAGGATGCTTCCCCCGGTCCTTATGTATGGTGAAAAAAATAAGCTTAGAATTCAATAAAAAAGAATCACTGAATAGTTTTTCTTATATCAAGTTACAGTACCTTCATATAAGACAGCAATGGTCCAATCTGTGCATCTCCTTGCTCAGGAACAGCTCCCTCTTCTGCATTCGGATCAATATAATCATACACCTCCTGGTCTAGTGAGGATTGATGAAGAGTGGAAAAGATAATATTAAGCAGTTCTCTGAACCAAGTGTTATTCCTGAGAGAGAGAAGTACTTATGAAAAATGCCAAATACGGATAATACAGTGAAATCCTGTCTCCTCTATCTAGAAAGGATCTTTGTCTTTCTTTCTGGTCCTGTGTATTTACGGTTTTATTATGTTGTTTTCCAAGATGATAAAAATACAGTTCCAACGTGCCATTGTATCATTTTGTGCAAATTTGTTATATTCTATTATCTAAGCAAGAGTATTTCTGTTGCCGAAAATGACAGATACACAACAGATATTACCTTTCTGTGGATCGAGTTTACTTCCCACCACATGATTGTCGTTCCTTAATGTCTGTTCCCTTGTTGATTCTGATACCTGGGAGTGAAGGCTGATTGTATCATCATCAGATGGCTGCAAAGACAGTCACACTTAATACAGTACTATTAAGCACATGCTATATGATTTGCTAATAAACAATAAATAGTATAAGAGACCCTGTCATGAGGGATGGCCCCCAGGGCAAAGAAAATAACATCAAGTCAGTATCTGTTGGGGAATGATAGTTCACTGTATGAAAGAACTCTTCAGTTTCCTTTGAAATGTAGTATTTTCTTCAAAGGGCCCTCACCCAATTCTGGTCGATGGGCTGAGGAAATTAACATGGGTACCTTTTCATCTAAAACCTCCAACCACTTTGATCCTTCTTAGACTAATGATTAAAAAAAAAAAAAAAAAACAAAAAAACCCACAGCTTTACTTCCAATCAGTTTGACTTTTCTTATGAAAAGTTGCAATACTCCTTGTTCTACAGTATTCCACTAAATATCACTCTGCATCTGCAGTTATTCTCTTTTTAAATTTGGACATAGTACTATCAAAGTCTGTTGTTTTATAGCACTCAGCTTTGACGATGCCATTAGTAACTACAACTGGCTAAACTTAGATCTCTACAGATACATGGATATGCTGTGGGGACTTCTGCTCATCACTTTAAACCCAGAGAGTCATTCAGACGTTCATATTATAATTTAAACAAAAAAAAGGATTACTAACATATATAAGCACTCAAGTTTAGTGAAAACACATTTTCATTTTCCTCCATTTTATTAATAGCAAAAGCAAACTTCACGTATGTTTTGCCCTCTGTGTAACACATGACTACATATTTTATATCTGAAAAGATCCAAACAACTCCTTAGATCAGAATTCAATTTTAAAGTGTATGAGAGTTTGGACTAGAATCAATCTAAACCGAAAAACTCAAAGCAACAAAGGTTTTATATGTCTAATACTACTAAGGTTTAAACTCAACTGTATAAATATTTAAAGGATGTAACTGTAACTTAATTAAGCATTTCTCAAACGATGCAAACAAACAGAGGAACAAAACTGTTCCATAAAACAGAAGTTACACAAATTTAACAGTGAAAAACACTCACTTCTGTTGCGGACAACCTTTTATCCCCATTATCACTTCCAATGCCAGAGTCTGGTCCATGGTTTTTATTGGGATAAAAGTCCTCCATGCTATTCAAAAAAAAAAAATTGAAGAAATTGTTAGTTTTTCTTTCCTGAAAGAATATAAACATCCTCTTTAGTACATGTTCCCTGTACTCATCTACTCATGCAGAATTCCCATGCACACAGCTGAAAAAATTCTTCAGCTCCTGAGTAGTTAAAAAACAAACAAGCAAACCCACCCCCACCACATACACACTATCAAAAAAAAGTTAAAGTTGAAAAGATCAATGAAGGCACGCTGTCCATATGTCTGTAACTTCAGAACTGTTCTATGTTTCATTCAAAAATACTGTCTTTGGAGAATTTAAATATTCCTTAAATTTCAGTTCCTTAAATTTCATTGGCAGATATGATTTTCTATTAGTAGCAAACAGATTCCCTAATGCACTGCCACATCATAACAGTTTAAATCTGCTTAAATATATACTTTTTTCCCTCTAAATGTATGCCTTCCGAAGATTACTAATGCAGTAGACAGAGGATCGACAGCATCAGTAGGGTGTGCTTTTCCAATTGTGCATTGCGGAGCTTGGTTTATATGGTTTATATTTATTATCTGAAATTGTATCAAACAAAATCTCACTATTACTGAGATGTTGTACAGTAGTAATATCCATGACTTCATTCCTTTTGCAACACATTTTATAGTTGTGGAACTCAAGTTTGGCATAGACTTGTGGGGAGTATGTGTGGACCACAGCTTCTAGGAGCACCGAGAGGCATTCTAAGGACAGTAGGGCCCAATCACCTGTTGACCAAGATCATGGACTGAATTTCATGTCTCGGGTGGTTCTCTGTAAGCTTTATTCATATCTTTTATCTTTCTGTCCGCACAGAACGAAAGAGTGACACAGGTTGCACGTGATATTTTAAGCAAACAGACAAAAATAGAGCGTTATTACACACGGCTTCCAATGGTAAGACAGCTGAAGATAAGAAATACAAAACCACTCTCATTTAATCACTCCAGAGAGGTATTCAGTTAAGAAGCCAAGCAAAACATGCTGCACTTTTTGACTTCAGGAGTAATCCAATCAAAAAATCTAAGATATTTCACTGCCATTTAAATTAGTTTCCATTAACCCATACTTGGGAGGCAGACTTTTCATCTAACAGACTAACTTATGGGACTATATCAATGTTTTTGACAAGTTTGGGTGAGAAATGGAAAACCAAATTTTTCAATAAACAAACTGAAACTACATCTGTGTTCTTATTTACAAATCTTTAGTGAGCATAATGAAACATTTTCATAGTAACCCAGACGGTCTTTAAGCTTCTACTAACACAAATTTAGATAGTATGACTTCTAAATAAACAACCTTTAAACTATTGAAATTACAGCTATTAAACTGCAATGAACTTCGTGTGGTACATTCTTTCCTGTTCCCCAAGGAACAGGATTTGCTTTATAGTAAATACTAAAGTAGAAAAAAAAAAAAACCCAAAACAAAACATACCACACCACTCACCTGTCTGTGAGTGGCTGGGAGGGGATTCGTTTACCCAGTGATGGAAGATCCAAAGAATCTGGTTTTTTATCTATTCTGAGGCACGCCTGAATGCTGAGGAATTTAAATATATGTACTTTACCCTTTAAACATATCTGTTTGGAAACAAAAAAAAAATATTTATTACATAGCACGTCTTTTGATAATGCACCCCAACCAATACCTTCTACACTGATGATTTAATGCCCACGGTTTCCCACTAGGAAAAACACAGCTAAAAAATAATGAAAACCTGACTGGTAATAACTTAGAACAGCTCCCCTTTCTTAAGGTCCTAATGCACATTACTGAAATAAAATGTTTTTATACTTACCTGTGCTGGTGGTATCTGCATTGGATTGTTATCCAAAACTATTACTTGTAAATGACGTAGCTTCCTGTAACAAATTGGAATTTCTGTAATTTTATTACAAGAAAAATCCAGCTTTACCAAGGGAAGGTCTCCTAATTCTATAATGGAGGAAAAGAAAAAGAAATCAGGTATCTACTTAACACTTCACATAATTTACCTGCATGAAAGAAAGGATAACAAGCAGCTTACCATCTGGCAACATATGGAGATTATTTCTTCTTATGTTTAATTCTCTAAGTGACTGTAGTTTTCCTATTTGCTGGGGAAGGACCTGAAGTTCATTGCAGCTAACATCCTAAGTAAAATACAATGAGTGAATGAACTGAACACCGTAAGTGAAATCAAATGAAGGAAAACTGCAATCAAAACTATTATAAAGCATATGATAGAAAAGACATCTCATCTTTCTTGCTTCTTCCCACAAGTGGAAGAGGTACCGTAACACAGACCTTACTGTTCTTTCACAGCTTCAGCAGTTTATGTTTCAGGAACTCAGTTGAAAAGGTTAAAACAATAAATAAATAAGAACTGGTTTTGAGATTTAAACAGTAGCCCAGAAATCAAGAGAGCCTCGTATAGTTCTCACGTCAACTAAAAATTTCATGTGTTATTGCAGGCAAATGATTTGGATTCTGTTCCTTTCATAAAAAATAGTCTCCTTATAAAATTTGAACCAGAGCAACTAAAAATTTACAAAAGCAATAGTGTGCTCACCAATTTTTTGGGTTCAGTCACTAGAGGGTGACAAAACAGCACCAAATGAACACAGATTACAGCTACTTCTGCCACTAACTTATTAAATATTTGTGTGGGTAGCCCACACTGAGTCAACAAACATACCAATCTAAGAAAGACAGCTAACCAACCTATTTTATTACTAATTCAGTAAAACTGATTGCAGTGTTTAGTTTCTTAGACGTAAGCAAACTTAGCTATCCACCTACCCAAAGGAAAAACAGAAGCTAATTTTTTTACAGAGTAGCTGAGAAATAACCAGAAGCGAGGCCTTAATGAGAAAAATCCATTTTCCTCCTCCCTCTACACACTTCCAGGGCTTCAGCATAGGCACTGCTCATGTGCTCTTGGCAGCAGAAACGTCTGCACAGAGCTGGCTCTCTCTGAAACTACAGGTTGCCTGGAATGAGCTGCTGCACAGCTAGTCTGAGTTCTTTTCTGTCCCCAGTGCCAAAGTTAAAATAGGATTCCTTTCCTGAAGGTACCTTTTAGCATCCATATCACTTTCTCGTCAACTTTTTTTAAAAATATAAATTACTTATATTCTAAATAGGTACAACATAGATATTGGAACGCAACTTTTTGGTTAAGTCCTTAATCTATGCCATCAAGCATATGCTCCAGGCTTAACATTTATGGAAAAAAAGCCAAAAGCACCACGGCTGCAATTCTAAAAGACACTCGTGTTCTGTAAACAACAGCAGTGATTCAATCTTGAAATCCCAGAACACTGAAGCGAACATTAAAGGATTTCTCATTTCTAATTCACCAAAAACAGATGAGAAGACATTAGAAAAGCCTCACAAACATTCAGAATATCTCACATTACTTGCAAATTACAAAGATAACGTTGATTTGTAGTTCAAAAGTTAGGTCATGTTAAAAGAAAACTCCAGGGCACGCTTGAGGCAGGACATACCCTGAAGATAGGATAAGAACTACTGGCAGTGTCCAAAGAAATTGCAAATACTGAAAGGTCAGATCTAGTCCAAGTGCCATATCTCTATCAAACTTTTTATAATAGCTGAAGTCATTTCATTCTGAGAGAAGCAATGGCAGCGAGTGAGAAAAAAATTCCTAGCAAGGCTAAAGAACAAATCTTGACTGCACGTAACATTGCCTTCCTCCTTCAGCGAGTTCTTGCTCGGTTTTACAGCTTAGCTTTCGTATAACCGCTTTAAAATTCTTCACAGCAAAAATAGCCACTTCTTTTGCAAGCAAGGCCTACATATGCATGCTCCTACGCTGAGTCAAGAAACAAAATGGATGCTTCAACTACTTGTCTGAAATTTAGCCTTTTTCTCTTTAAAATGTTTCTTTAGTCTCTAGAGAACAGATTGACCTAAGGGAGATGCTAAGAAAACGATAAAGGAGGAGCTTTAGCTTAATCAGTCTTTTCACTCTTGAGAAGCTTTGGAGACGGTCATACTTCCTTAGTGCCAAGAGATGCAATGTTCCAGGCTACACCCTCCTTGCACTTGTGCCACCAAAGATACCTACTTCAAAGCAGTACGCAAAAATAAACTAATTACAACTAATCACTTTTTCTCCACTGAGAGGTGAGAGGAAAAAAAGTGAAATTGTATTCCTGACTGATTAGAAACTTTGTTCTGGCCTCATGTGAAAGGAGTAAAACTTTTTAGTAAGAACTTATTTCTTTTCCAAATTGTTGGAATTATTTTCTTCAGTGGTTTCACAGTATCACTGATTGCAGAATAATATTTAACACACAACGTATGAAGATTTTAAGGGTATCAAAAAAATAAAAAGTCTAAATTATTTATTACCACCCAGAAATAAGATCTGTTGATAATTACCCATCGTTTTCTAAAATGTCCTTAATACTCAGTAACCATCAGAACAAAATAAATTGGTTATTAAGAAATAAGGAAAGTAACAGAAGACAAAACACAAAAAATTCAGTGTGCCATTCAATAAAATTATGTTGCACAGACAGCTTAACTGTGAATACCCTAGCCCACATAAAGTAATAGCAGAATTGGATACAAATACAAAACAGGACAACAAAGATGGTACAGTATTACTTGTATGGACAGACTAAACAGACTTCAACTGTTCAGGTAGGAATAAGATTCCTGACAGCATAAAAGAAAAATATATAAACTTATGATTACTGTAAAGGATGTAAACACAGGGGGAAAAAAATCACCATTTTTAACCATATACAAACTAAGAGCTCACATGCAATAATCTAAAGAGCAGTTTTATTTATGAAACTACTAATCTTCAGTTAATTCAACATATTGATTTTTGTGTTTATCCCAAATTTTGAAGTTCTACAATAACTATTATTCTGTAATTTGAGATCAAACACTGAGAAAATGGCAAAACTGAATTTACATTCTGCATTCCTATATGCAAAAGTGATAATGAACTAATATTTTTCTTACATTGCAAATAGGCTGCTTATAGTGTACTTAAGAGTGGTTTACAATTATACTTACCAATTCCATTAGATCTCTCAACTTCCCAATTTCTTCCGGAATGGAGACCAGCTTATTATTACTGACTACCAAAACTTTAAGTGGAAGATCAAACAGGTATTTTGGCAATGTTGATAAAAGATTTCGACTTGAAAGAAAAAAACAACAAACAAGAAAGGACAGATTATCATATTCCGCTCGACAGGGAGTCTGAGATGCACATTATGCAGCATCTCTCCTGCTCTATAAGATATCCTCCACCAACCGCAACTTCATCTAGATTTAAGCTACGATCTCCACCATGAATTCCTTACCAGATAAAGCGTCTCTCAGCTGAATAAGTTCTAGGTCTCCATCTCATTTAGTAAATGCAGGTGTACTATAACTGATCTTCTAACAATAAAAAGTACACACAGAGAAATTGGTCCAAAGAAACAAAAAGCCCACTGAGCTATAAATGTAGCTGTAAACAGCAACAAAAGCACAGGGTATTCTAAGTTGCATTCCTGAAGCTCTGTGGAATGACATCCAGCTGCATTTCCTCTTCTCGATGGAGAGTTGCAGCTAATCTAGCACCTTGTCATGAATACTGTCACTCTAATTATTAATACTGCATCTGTGCAATTAGAAATCTTTCACCAAAATTAAGTCAACATGAATCAAACACTCACAAATACTGACCACGTTTCTGCTGCATTAACTATGGCATACAATATTGTTCATGCTTGATATTTACTTTTACACTGTTTCTGATGCCTTCAGAAGGACCCACTGATCTGACAGAGTCTACCAATATAAACTTCATGTCCTCAAAGTGGCAAGATCATTGCTTCTCACAGCACATGGTTACAGCACTCCTGATCCATTACCAAAAGCCCTAAACATCTATTTATTACTTTGCTGAGCAATGGTCTGGAAGGTATGTTTTAATTAATGTTGATTTCTGCTGTGTGCACCAACTGCATGCACATACGCCTGCTATATTAACAAGAAAGCTATTATCGCTTGCAATTTAATTTAAATTGATTTCAGAAAAGCTACCAACTGCAGGCTGCCTCCTGCCAGAAATTCATATTGTTTTTTTCTGGTAAACTACTTGTACATTTTAAAAAAAGCCATTGGAAAACCAGCTTGTTAAGATGTGATGTGAAAGCAATTGCTTTCACACATGAAAGTGAAGTTGTTCAGCACTTTCAAGAAGTGTCCAGAACCCAAAAGTTCTATTTTGCAAGACCCTATTGAAGAGCTGACATTTGTTTTCACACTATATGAAGAAAAAAAATAAAAGTTTTAAACTGTTCTGATACAATTCCATTACACAAAAACATTGCTTTCATGTTGAAAACCTGAACTTTTTCAATTACACCTTTACATGACTATAGTTTGTATGTCTGCAAAAACAACAAAATCACTACGCCCCTGCAACATTTCAGCTTCAAAGTAGTGCAATTTTGACAAAGCAAGCTGACAGTAAACTGGTATCACTATCTTTATGAAGAGCAATACATCCTTGATGTTAATACTAAGTGGAAAAAAAAAAGTTAGTTTTGGGTGTAGGCTTGCAATAAGCTTATTTTTATTTTGAATTTCAGGCAGATATGACTGGCTTTTTCTGATTGGTGGTCTGTTGAGTGTGTGGAAAGCAAAAATATCACGTGTAAGTAAATGAAAATGTTTTATTTACTTAAAAAAAAAAAAACTTTGCAGTGAAACTGCAATTCTCTGCATGACTTAAAATCAATTACCTCTGAAGTTCTTTTGAAAAAAAGGAGCTGCCTACTTTACAATGAATTGCATAATACTGTTCTTTGCTCTTCTGCATCCAAAATTAGAATTTGGGATCATGTGGTTTTCTTCTGTAATCAAAATACTGAACTAGTAAGTTAATATTTTAGCCTATGCTTAACTACTGCTGTCCACATGTTCATGCATCCTGAAAATAGAGTCCTCGGACATTAGCACAAAAACAAAAGACAAAGCAAGGTAAGGAAAAAGGCCATTGGATGAGCCAACTACTGAAACAACATGCAATGCTCACTTAGAATCAGTTGTTCCTTTATTTCTGTATCAAAAATTACATTCGGCAGCTCAGTTACCATCAACACAGAAACGTGCTTTTGTTGCTCTATGAAAGAAATTAGGTCAAATTTCTTTCAGAAAACACTGCAGTTTTATCATGTAATTAATACCCTTTAAAGCCACCAAAGAGCAGGCAATTCTTGGAAATTGTAAGTACTGATATTTGAAGATCAAGACATAGTTAATGTTTTTTTTTTTCTTTTCCTTCCAAGTATCAATTCAAAAAGTAATTTCAAGTTTGTGCAAAAAATTATTTCTGAAACCAATTTCATATGTTAAATAGCTCTTGGTTGAAAAGACTGTTCTGGACTTTAGACAGTCAGTTTAAGAAACCAGGCATATTGTGGAAAACAAGGTCTCAACTCTTTATGGAAGGGTTCCTCTAGATCCCTCTGCTCCTGTACATTCATATAGTACCTTAGACGATTTCCAGTAGAGCTAATACTCATTTTCTGTTCTTCTGAGAAGATCCAACTATATGTTTTCCAAGTCTAAAAATAGAAATGGATGCGACTAATGTACAAAATGAGCAGAGCCTTCTGGCCAGAGTAATTTACCCTCTTGAGAAAAACAATGAATTTCTATATTCGTAGTTTTTAATCACGGTCCCCCTGCAAAACATTAACAACAAATAAAACTTCCCAAACTTTCTTTATAGACAGCTATTGCAATGAATTGCCTACAGTTTCATGACGCTGTCAACTCCTTCCCACAAAGGAAGCAACAAGAACTGCTCATCCTAAAGCACTAAGGATATGGCAAACAACTAAGAGTATCATTTTATCTGTCTGGGGGGAAGTAAGGGCACAAGGGCACTCGAAGTCCTGAGGAAGTAAGATGCCACCTCTCTGAGGAAGCACAGAAGAAAGAATGACAAGGGTTACTCACCTAATATTAAGGTAAGTAAGCATTTGCAGATTTTTAATAGATTCTGGAATGGATTTGATGCAATTATGATACAAATTTAAAGTTTCAAGAGGTGCAAACAGCCAAACATCAGGAGGAATTTCCGTAAATCTGTTCTTTGAAAGATCTGGGAATAAAGAAAAAGAAGTAATTTAGTCCAACATTTGCCCACAACAGGAGGACGTGCAAATACCCACAGTTACTCTTGCCACGCTCCTAAAAATTAATTTGTTGCAAAAAGTCTAAATAGTTTGGTTTTACCAGAGGCTATTGGATGCCACTAGATGTAATAAACACAACAAACACACAAAAAAAGACTATATCCACTATATAATTAAGAACACTTAAATGCAACTGAATATCAATTATAATTGTCCCCCCCATCAGTCTTTGCTCTGTACAACTGTTTTAATTTTTTTCATTCGAGACAGAACAGTAAGTCACAAACTACAAGTAAACAGATAACTTTTTCTGTTCTTGACAGTTACATTAGAATCTAATTTCACTGTGCATAATACCTGCAATGACAAAGCCCAACTGGCACAAAATGCTTACATATTTACTCAGTTAGACAACCACAATTCTTATCTACCTATTTATTCTTTATCCTAAGCAAAGTTACTGGTCTGTTCTCCGGTTTCACACTTATAACTTAGCTCAAAAGAGAATAAAACTACACAAACTAATGTCAAAATTGTTTAGCTATGAAAATAAGGATGCAATTTAGCCTAGACTAAGAGCAAAAGTGGTTTTCCTTTGACAAAGGAAACATAACATTTGGGCTAGAACTAGTCTGATAATGCATGACCGTATCATGCAAATCTGCATGCTAAAGATATATTTTGACAGTGTACTTTTTTGTCATAATACTGACTTAAATCGGTTTTGACAGAATCTATACCATCTCTGACAAGTATATACAATATGCAATCAAAAAAAAAAAAGTGGAATGCGACCCTTGAAGCCTGGAAATTATCAATCACCAAAACCTATACCATACAGAAGTTATCATCTTGGAAGAGAAAGATATTTACTTGAGACAAAATGTCTTGTGTTTTCAAAGGTAACTCTTGTTCCCAACCTAAGATCTTTCCAAGGATGTGGTCTCTCAGAAACCAGACATGCTCTTTTAACAAGAGGCAATGCCAATACTTCAAGTTTTAGTTATTAGTCTTTAAAACTTGCACAGAAATGACTGTGCTTCTGCTTAGCCACTGTTGCACTATTAGTGGAACAAACATACCATTTTGTTTGTTCCACCAGATTGGAGACGCAGACTAGAAAGCGGCTGAAGAACTGACTTGATTGCCAGGGTCAAAGAGAGCTCAGAAGTTTGAACTGTAACTGGCAGATCAGCTATGAGTGACATTTCTCTGGGGTAAATAGGGGACAATACTGTTATAATATCTATGTCAACAATCTGGAAAACGGGAGGGAATGCACTCTTAGGAAATTTATGGATGGTGCCAAGTTGGAGAGAGCGTGATCTTGACTGACAGACAACTCATCCAGTCAAATAAAGGCAAAGACTTGGACCCGGGGCAGAATAACCCCATGCAACACTATAGGCTGGGGGCCAGCAGGGCAGAACACTTTCTTTGCAGGAAAGAACCTGGTACACTACAGATTGAACGTAAGTCATCAGTGTCCCTTGTAGTGGTGAAGGCCAGCCAGAGCGTGCAGCAAATACCCATCCAATAAAACGGACTGGTACAAAAAACCATCACCTTCCAGTAGCTTTAGTCTTGCAAGTAGCATTAACTTTGCTTCCTAAAGCCTAGAACACGTGAGATTTGTGAGCTAACTGGCTGCCACTCCACCGTTGCATCATTTCTAAGAAATGCTCTCAAGCATAAGTATCGCAAAGCCGTCCTCGTCATCAGATTGCCCAAGTAAGGAACACTGCTGACACCAAATTCTGCAAACTCTAGCTTCAAGAGGCAGGAAGAGAGAGATTTAGGTTGCAGGACTGGGATTCTTAATGCTCTGAATGAAAAGAGACGGTAGGACACAGAATTAGCTACAACTAAACATCCAACTAAAATTGAAAAGTCTACCAAAACAATTTCAGCATACTTTGAGAAAGTCTTCAAAGTAACAGAGTTTGTTTTCTGTTTCCCAGCATTTCAAAATATCATAGGAATACACTAGCTTACATATAAACAGATTTTCCACAAAATCCTTTTCAAGCTGAACAAAGATTCTCTTATACCGATATCCAGTAGGGTAGGATAAACGCATGCAAAATAGGCCAACACAGTCTTACTGCTGGCAAAGTTCTAGAACCACCATCACTTCAAGAGACTTGCTTAGGTAATTTTCTTCTGAAGAAATCAATTTTAAGACTCTTCCTGATTTTGTTTCAGCAGCAGCTGGAAAGATAGTTGAAGACAAGTACAACGGTCTAGCCTACAAAATACAAATTGCAGAATCTACCTTATAGCCACTACTCCAAAGAGCAGTACTGCTGGTAACACCTAGATTCAAGGGTACCATGATGATTCTGCTGCTGTGTGTCCATCCAGCCACATCCCAACTACACATCTAGGAAAAACACAGGGGAAAAAGCTGCTTTGCCATTTTTTCTGTAGAAATAAAACCCAGGAGCGGGCCAGATTAATAGCTAGAGCGTACTCCAACCCCCAATGAGGGCAATGACTGAACGACAGGCGATACAGAAGCAGCGGTGGTTACTAACCTGACCCGAAGAAAAATCATATTCGTACCGTCTGGTTTAAGTCGCTTTGTTTAGCCTTGCACGTGAAAATTTCACATTAAAAGAAAATATACAAGTATTGGGAAAGTGGTATATATTAAAGTTAAAACATTTCACTAAAGACAATGCTTTTAAACTCAGAGGAAAGATTTCACTTTTCTATAATGAAATGAAAACCAAAAGTCAGGTTTTAAATTTAGAAATAACACCCCTTAACCATCGATTGTAAAATAAAGTTAATAAAAAGTTGGAAGATAGCATTGTTTCTCTTCCAAGCAATTTCTGCAAACTTTTATTTCAAAAAAAATATTAGAATAGCTCCATGAGCTCAGATCTCTCTAAAGCGAAAGATTCGAGTCTATATATTTTTCCATAGCATTCATAAATCACATCTACTTATGGCTTTTTTACAGATAGATGATGCTATTCTTTATCCAAAATGAAAAATGATTTCTACTCCAAAAGTGCTTTTACAATGAACAATAGATTTATTTAGCATAACAGATGCTAACCCACCTTATGAAACGTGGACGTGAATTTATGCAACTTAGGCAACTTGAAAACTAAAGATGCAATAAACAATTGAGAAACTATCATAAGGAAAGGGGGTCATATCCATTAGGAGCTGGAGAAATTTTGGAAGTAAGAGTGCTCTTTTATAAGCAGGGTAGATTTCATCTAAATCAAAGTGGAAGCAGGTTGCTGGCACTTAAAACGAGAATGGTTTTTCAAGAGTTAATAGATTGAAGAAGCAAGGAAAGCTGGCAAGTGCAGAAGTGCACGTGATTTATGATGACAACTCATCTAGAAGTGAAATTACACAAATTCTTTGCTTAACACAGTTTAGACTGGACAACTCTAAATTGTGGGTGTTATGAAAAGACTAAATACAGGACACCACTAATGATCACTCATGAACCATGGCATATTTCAATTCAATATCTCTGCAGAAGCAACAAAAGCCAAAAGCATACCATTACTGAGGCTAATTTAAAAAGAGGAACTAAAAAACCCTGAGGAAGTTTGTTAAAAAGAAACTAAGCCTTCACTGACTGCAAGGGGATAATTTAAAGGCACAGTATTGGAGGTTCAGAACAGAAGAGTTTGGGGGAAAAAAGAAGAGAAAGTCAGATTTTGGAAGGGGAGCTAGTGGAAGTAAGAAGGCATTTTCCATAAGCTTAAGTCATGTTCTAAAAGCAAAAACAGAAGCCTCAAATTTTCTCAGGTTTAATTTAAAGTACAGTAAGGCAGTCAAAAAGTATTAACATCATGTTTAACATCTGCTCTCCCTCTACATTTGTTACTTATTAACAAAGATGTTGCCAGAGTAGATTGGCCTTTGCTTTGATCCAGCGCAACCATTTTTATGTTCCATTTCCCTCTCTGTTAGATCACGCTTTGCTTGAGCTAAAGGTTGAATTTGAAATGCAAGGACTAGTTGAGAAACCTATACTTAAACGCCATGTTGAGACATGCATTTTCATAAAAACATGCTGGCCTATGATAGAGTTTTTTCTTTTTGGTGTGCCCAAACTGTTCCAAAATTTTATTTGGAAACTAAATTACAAGGAAAAGCACCGGGTCCGTTCCCCTAATTAGGAACATGCAAAGACTATCCAGTTTTTCTGGAAACACTTTAGTAGCATCTAAGCCTAAAAACATCTAAGCACAACAGCAACTTAATCAGGTAACCTATCCTATAGAAGTCAATGAAGGTATCAAATTAAATTGAAAGCATAAGATATACTTTTACCCAATCTAAACATGGGTCTGAGATCACCACATGGGAAGTAGTCTGTTAGATGCAAGAAAGTCAGACTAAAAGAACCAATTATGCTTCTGGCTCTGAGGAAAATAAGAAAAAAAAACCCAGAACTCCTAAAATATGCAATCTCAAATACTTCAGAAACA